CAGAAGGGTACAGTTAACTTTCAGAGCATTCAGCTTTGTTGCTTACAAAACTCTTAGCTTCCCTTCTGGCTTTTCTCCCTTATGGTTTCCAGCTAGGCAGGTAGTTTCTCAGTTCTCCTCCCAGTTGTTAACCCTTGCCGTTTGGCCTCTGTTTGAATCTTCTTACAGACAGAAGCTACTTCTTCTATTGCTACTGTGTGGGCAGGAGGCCAGTAATTGAATTCCTTTTTCCCTACCAGCTCAAACCTCTTTTGCCCTGGCTCCGCAGTGTCGTGGCTCCACACTGCTGTCTCAGCTACCACTGGGGTGAAATACTGAGCTTAGACAGCAGACTGCAAGAAGACCTCTGAGCCAACTAGGAAGAGGAGACTCGACCACTATTCTTCTACCCTTGTTACTGGTTTGGTAAAACAGGATAACAGGGGTGGCCACTATAGGGCTTAAACAAAGATATGTTGGAGACATTGGGGTTCTCAATGATTTCACTGTTGTTAGTTCTTGTGGCTTTATTGCAGGTCTTGTAATATTTCATGTTTCACCTTTAAAGCCCCTGTTCCTCCCATCAGATGATTATAAAGAATCTCAGTTTCACTTTAAAAAAAAAACCCAAAAAACAAAGTTGCTGCTGCTGAGGTTTGCTGAGAAGAGCTTAAAATCTGAACTTAAGGCAGAAAAAGAACTCTACATTTATAACTACTTCTTGAATCTTACGATTTTTAAGACAAGCAGTTGGATTTATGGGGTCTGAGCCATGATTTATTTTTTAACTTGGCTGTAGTAATATTGTTGTTTGATAATTAGGGAAGGATCGTAGAGAAGTAGGGCTGGAAGGGACCTGTAGGGGTCATCTAGTCCAACTCCCTCCCTGAGGCAAGGTAAAATTACCTCTTTCTGGTAGTGATGCTCAACAATGTAGAAAAGATAAGTCCTTTCTACATGAATATGTAAATTAACCCTTGAATAGTTTGTTTGGGATATGTGGGGAGCTATTTTATTACTGTTAAATGTCCAGCGTTGGACAGTATGATAACTTTACTCATAGAGATTATCTCAGCCCATGGCAGTTTTAGGTTTTCAGTAGTTCAGACCAGGTATTGTTACACTAGGGAATTACTGTGTTTTCTGAATTGCCCAAGGTATTTATAAATTTATAGCAAAAGAGAGAATCTTGTGTGTTGTGTTTTTTTTGTTTTTTTTTTTGTATGAGCGTATGTGTGTCTGTGTCCATGCATACATATACATACACACACACAAAGCATGATGCAAATGTTTAACTATTTTAGGGAATCAGGGACAAGAGAAGAAAGAGTGTTTCAGTGTTAAAGACTGCATGATGTGTTCCGAGATGGTGTTCCCTTTTTGTCCCATTAAGGAATTTAAAACCAAGTCATGTCATAAAACTGTGTGTTCATCCAAAGAAAATTACTTTGTCGATTTATTATTTTGATTGGTGATCCCTATCAATGGCACAGACTGTACTGAATTGTAGATGGATTATGCTACATTAGGAAGCACACAGTTAAATAGATCTCTTAAGTTTATTTTTGTACAGAAAATAGATACATTGCTTGAGATTACTCTTTGCTATCTGATTGCATTTTAAAAAGCAGAGCTTCCTTGTACAGTTTGAAGTTTTTCTGTTTCCTTTTTTCCTTTTCTGATGTTATATAGAGGGAAAGTGACTGTATCTTGCCAAGAAGTGTTCTGTCTGCAAGGGGAAAACAACTGCATCTTGCCAAGAAGTGTCCTGTCTATAAGCTTAAAAGCATTTACAAATGGAAACAGTAGATTATTTTTCCTTTCATCATTTCTGTATAAACTGTGACTGGGGTTTTTTTTTTTCTTTTCAAATGCAGATTTTAGCAATGTGCCTGATGTCACTGCCAGTTTGAAAAGGAGCTCTACTGATGGCACTTTGGACCAAGTACCACACAGGGAAAAGGCTGAACCACCTTTCCGGGTAAGAGATTCATTCAAAATAATAAAACAGCAGATTAGGTTATTTTAGATCACACACTGCATCTTGCAGAAAGAGCGGTTTGATTTATATGTGTTTG